TATATATAACTACTATACAATACCTTTGTAATATTTTACTCTCTTTTGGAGATTTCAACAAAGATAGCTGGATGTTCTAAAAGGCACTGTTATGCAGATGGCTGGTCCAAACCCTAGCTATGTTACTAGAGACTCAACTGGCACTTCATGCTGTTTTTATCTTTAGTACTACAAACAAACGTTTTCCTTAAGTGGTTCTCATAGTAAACAACTATTAATTATTATGCAGTGGCAATGCTAGCAAAAAGTAAAACATTTATATCTCTAACACAAAAGTCAGTTTGCATTTGCACTCTATACTTCAAGCCAGAGCATGATGCCATACCCTCAGAACTGCTAGTTTCCACATCTTTGTTTGCATTTATAAAAATATTTTGACAATCAGCTTTAAAAACTTCATAGGTTGAAAAGTCTGAATTTATTGAAGCTACATATAAATGATTTCTTGTTCTTTTCACAGTTGGTTTAATGCAATTCTGAAGAAAAGGTGTTATAAACCTCAGAAGATCTCATAGAATTTGTTTGTAACATGAATATACTTCTATAAGGATTTATTTGAAAAACGACAAAATCTTCATATTATTGAAGATGGAAACTAACATTTTTGTGTACTCCTGAGTTAGTTCAACTTAATTAGATATATGTATTCCATTTTTATTTGAATGTCAAACATAAGTAACTTGTGTTTCAACAACACATCATTAGTGAGAGAAAAGTTTCAAGACATTTGATTAGAATCAAGGTCACTAATGTGTAGTTAAATGGTAACTTCAAACGTACATCATAATGTGTTGGGTTTTACTTTCTGTAGTATCCTGTGTGCTTTGATGTCTTTGACAGCATATCACTGCCCTTGCCAAATTCTTTCTGGGTGAGTTTAGTTTTTGTTATTATTTACAGTTTTGTATATAGTAAAGTTTGAAAGTTTTATGAGCAATTATATTTTTTTTGTGTGAAACAGTACTTGTGTGTATAAGTTTACCATATAAGCTTGTATAACCTAAAAACTTTTAAGTAATCCTCCTGAAACTTTGTTATTAGTACTGTATGTACTTTTAAATAAAATGATACAGAAACCTCATGAATTGTACAAAAAATGTTTTGTTCATATTATATACATTGCATATCATAAATAATAAATTCCATGATCCTGCTGATATCAATTTATACTTTTTTACAGCTGTACTCATTGTTCAAGTTGTTAGATTCATAATGTTATGAATAGAACCTGACTAAACTGTTCTAAAGCTCAAAAGATATTATATGTCGTTAAAACATAACCATGATCAAACATGATTAAAAGCTAATAATTAACTGTTCAGAGTGACAACATTTATTATCTAATTGTGTGGACAGGACCATCTGACATCCTTCTGGAAAAATCTAAACTCTATGTAGCACATAATTCAATTCACCATGGAAATAGAAAATATAACTGTCTTTTCACATTCTTTCAGCAAATGCTTACAAATTTGCAACTACAATATCCATAAATCTGACTCGTACAGACAGATACCCAGATTTTCACAACATTCAACTCCTATAAAATGCAGTATCATCCAATGTTTGAATCAGAATTAGTCCTCTAGTGCCTCGTGTCACACCGGGTAAATACCAGACAATTCCACTGTTAGTGACCCTCAGCAATTTATGTCAGCTTTTTGATGGAATTTAAGGTGAGCAGTTTTCCTCCATTAAGGATTGTCCTTCTTAGAGATCTTTGGGTTGTCATTTATTTCATGTTCGTTTTAGGTGATATGCTGTGGCTTAGCTATTTTTGGTTGGATAGCATGGAGTAAAACATAGCCAAGATATTTTCAGCACCGCTTCTGAATGACTTGAGACATAAGACTGTTTAGAATGTTCTTATAAATCTTACCACCCCACACAGAGAAACTTCCACAGGCACTTTTTCTGTTTGTATTCTATTTCTTTCTTAGCTTCCTAATTTTCAACTCCATATGTCAAGGTGGAAATGATGTTGGAATTGAAGAGTTGAAGTTTTATTTGTAGACTATATATTTTTGATTACCATCATTTTTGTAGATTTGAGAAGTTGTCTGTAGTTTTCCCAATTTTAATTAGGACTTTCTTTTTTGAGGTTACTATCTGTATTGTCAACATTTGTTTTTTTCGTAACTTATTTGACATTCTTTTTGCATTATTTGTCAGTTTTGTCTGGCTTTATAGAATGTTTCCTTTCGATTGGAGAGTAGTCTTATGTTATCAGCAATGTCATAGTCTCCAAGACGTTTGTCACTAACCCATTGGATTCCTGTTTTTTCATCAATCCCCACTTTTTTTTCAATACTTTGTCTATAACATTGCCATTTAGCAGACTCATTGTACCATACATTTTAGAAATCTTTGATGATGTTCATGAATTTGTATAGGATGCCATAACATTGTAAGATATAACAGAGTGCATCCATGTGTAGGCTGTAGAAAGATTTCTTGAAATTGAACTTGACAGTTAGAGAACACATTCTTCAATTATTACTGTATAGATAAAGATCTGATTGAAACATGAATGATCCTGTTCAAAGTCTACCTATTTTACTATTAACACCTCAGTCTGTGGAGGAATATGCTGCAGTAATTGAGGATAACTCTAATTTTCCATTCTATTCATTATTTTATACATGGTTTAAGAGTTTTGTTATTCTTGTGACATACCTTTAACATTCTTTTATTTGTTGGTCCTCTCTGATTTTTTGTATACAAAAGACTTGTAATGTTTATTTAAAGCTTGCCATATTTCATAAAGAAATAGAAAAACTGCAAAGACAGCCTGGGCATCTGCAAAAAATCCTTAATTGACTAAATCCACCAGAATTTATAGATTCCAGTCAAGAATGTATGCCATCAGAAATTACTTACATCCACACAGAATCAATTTCCCCTGGTAAAGCCAAAGAGGCCATTTCATCTTTAAAATATGGCAAAGCTGCTGGATTTTTTAATTAAGTATTTTTACTAAAGATTTATCTACGAATATATTCAGTCAGAGTGTTGGTTGCAAAGTGATTTTTCACCTTATGATTAAAAATACTTTTCTTCATCTGAAAATTTTCTAATTTCATTTGTGTAACCTCTAAAGCCTCCTAAATAAATCTCAGAAGTTTTTTTCAGTAAAACTTTATATATTATCTGTTACTTTCTCAGTTTATTTGACTGATCTTGTAACCACCAGGGAAAAAATGAAAATCTAAATTACTCTTTTTTTTTCTTTCTAGAATGACTGCAGATTGTAACATAAAACTAAATCTGTTTATCCCAAATAACTAAAGGCTATTAACAGTCTACATCTGTACCATTTTTAACTAATAATCTCACAATAAAATTTTTAAATCACTTGGCAAACGTATAGCTAACATTAGCATATTGAATGATGTAATGCATGAGTTACTCCTGAGTAAACCTTGCGAAGAATTTTTTTTTTTCACCTAATTTATCTTAAGTTTCTAATTTCTACATTTTAGTAACTTTTAGAACAATGCATACAAAATATACATGGAAAACAAGAATTATAATATTATATAACTATAAAACTTTTAAAGCAATGAATAAAAATATACATGGGAAACAAGAATTATAATATTATCATTTGATCCCTCATTTTTTGTTGTCAGTTGCCGATGAAATTTAAGCCTACTTTTCTCTAAAAGGATGGTACTAGTACACCAAATATTTTTTAGTTATTTAGATAATATATCTAAAAATACAAAATAATAACATGCCCAAAGCAAACAATGTCCTATAACTATTATAGTTTAACTGGCTTTCTAACTAAGGCAAAGTGGGAGCTTAATTCCCTTAGCTACTCGGTCTGAACACTGTGAGATAAACTGAAAATGAAATTGACAATGCTCTGTACTGAATGCAATGTAGCATTATATGTCATTCAGTAGATTAAAATATTACCTTTCTATTGGTTATAAATGATGTAATATAAAACATGAAAGCCACTTATTAGTAATTTGCAAAAGAGAGTATGTGACAGGTGGACATGGCAAGTGGATCTGATTTTCTAGTTTATGACTCTGTAAGCAAAGAAGATTGAAAACTATAAAAATAAGAATTTGTCTTAGTGTATTATAATGTGTAACTTTTTTTAACTTCATACTTCAGAGAGGGGTAGTAAATAGATTAGAGAAGGGGGTCTACCTAATGAACAAATGTCAAAATTCTCATACTTGGGGAGATTGAAGATTCATTTAAAGATTTCTTTAGAAAATTAAGAAATTTAAATATAATTAAAATTTAATCTATTAACTATGTTTTGATGCCAAGTTTAATTGTATACATTCATAATAAAATAGTTTAATTAAAATTTGAATGTAACTGTAACAGGTCATGACGTGAACTTTGACATGCCTGTAGTGAGAGGATTAATCTTATTTTTAATTTTGGAATGCGTGATAAGGTTTATTTGACAATGCTATTTCCTATTATTTTATCCATTTTACAGGTTTACTTTAAGTACTCTTTATTGCCTTCATTACACTATTGACTTAGACTTATGTATTATCAACATACAAGGTCAACTTTTATTAATATATCAAAATGTTTCAAAAAATTGGATCATCTGGACTAATATTTCATGTTTGTGATGTCTCCTAAAACTCTACCATTCCTCATCATTAGTCATCCACTTATGCAGTGGTGACTGGAAGCACTTTGAAGATCTGGGATTTTATTGCCATTGCATATTAGGTGATTGGTTCTATGTTAACATCAAGTCCAAGATTTAAAACCTCCTGCTTCTGTTATTTCAGCTGAGCCTGACCCATCTTCAATCAAATTTGACTGTATCTATACCTACTTATGCTTCTTGTTCCCTCTTCCTGACAAAGATCAGGTAATTTCACCATCTTTCTTCACTGCTTGGATTCCACAGGTATTACTCTTTCTTCAGCTATTTGTTACAGCATCTACTACCTTGTTTTAACTCATTCACTTCAGTATCTTCTTTCAGCAGTGCTCTGCTTTTTTACCTTCTGTTTTGGTGAGTGCAGCATAGGTGATGCATTTTGAAAGTTTGCTCTTGACCACAAAGAGGCTTACAAACAAAACCTCTCACCAGATGCCCATCTGTTTAGGTGGGGTGCAAATTAGTACACAAATAGTACAAATTAGCAGGGTGCAAATTAGTACACTTGCTCCATTTCATTTCTTTATCCTAAGTAGCTTTAAACTGGTAAGTATACATCTATTTATAATTAAATTTTACTATTTTATTGCCATTTCAACCATGTCTGCTGCTGTTTGAGCCATTATAAGTTGTAAGTCACTTAGAGAATGTGGAGGTCACATTATGCTTTCAAATTAGTTTACCCAAGAGCTGCTTGTGTGCTTGCCCTGTGAAACATTTTTATTATATTCTTATTTATTTTACCTAATCAAGTCTTAACTAACCTAAAAAGATCTCTATTTTTACATTTTAGTTACTTTTATAATAATAAATAAAGAATAAACATAAAATAAGGTACTTACCCGAATCTTCTTTTTTCTTGCTGTCAATAGTGTATGACACTTAACGCTACTTTTTTATACTAATGGTAGTAATGTACTAAATAATTTTTATTGAATTAAATAATGCACCAAAAACATAGACTAATAACATGCAAAAAGTAGACAATTTCTTCTAACTCTCACAATTTTTCTGGCTTTATTACTATGTGACAAGAGCCATTACAAATTACTCCAAGCTAGTCGCTATCTTTCCTGTGGGAACAAAGCTTGTACTAACAGTGAAATTGACAATTCCCCATTCAGAAAACAATGTTATACAATACATCATTTGATAGATGAAAACCTTGGCTATCTATTGGTTATGGATAATATAGAATTAACTCTTTCGGTATGGGCTTGGTCCCTTGGACCGACCTCATAACTATTTTGTGTGTGTTATAGTTTTCATGCTATAATCTTTAAATTAGTTAGCATATGTTAACGAAATTTGGCAGATTATCAGTAAACATTACAATGCTTTCATACTCAAGATATTAGATTTTTGTATTAAGTCATAAGGTTCATTAA